AAAGAAAAGAAAAGGGGTGCCTGGGTGGCTTAGTCGGTTAAGCGTCCGACTTTCGCTTAGGTCATGATCTCGCGGTTCGTGGGTTCGAGCCCCGCGTCGGGCTCTGTGCTGACTGCCAGCTCAGAGCCTGGAGCCTGTTTCAGAGTCTGTGTCTCCCTCTCTCTCTGACCCTCCCCTGCTCACGCTGTCTCTCTCTCTCTCTCTCTCTCCTAGAAATAAATAAAAAACATTTAAAAAAAGAAAAGAAAAGAAAAAGCAAACACATTGAAATATTACAGGGAGGTAATGGGGCATCATGTCTTATGCTCAAATGGTTCAGAATGTTAACAATGACAAAATTTGGATGAAGAGTAAATTGGACCTCTGTGTACTATTTCTGTAATTTCTATGTCAATTTGAAATTACTTCAGGGGCACCTGAGTGGCTCTATCAGTTGAGTGTCTGACTCTTGATTTCAGCTCAGATCATGCTCTCGCCTTCATGATATCAAGCCCAAAGCCGGCTTGCTTGGGACTTTCTCTCTCCCTCTCTCTGCCCCCTCCCCCACTTTCTCTCCCTCTTTCTCAAAATAAATAAACTTTAAAAAAAGCAATGAAATTACTTCAAAATAAAAAGTTTAAAACATAGCCCTTATTATATATACATCATAGGACAAAGCTACCTTCATTGTAATACATTGGAACTTTATTATAACATTATTTCCTATAAAACCAGACAGTAAATAAAGTAGGTCCAACTTCATTTAATGAGTTTAGGTACTGAAATTCAGACTACTCCCAGATTTCAACTGGTCCACTTTTTGTTATCTGCCTAACAGAATTTAAACCTCTTCTCACCACACCCTTCACAATTTCCTCCGACTTCCACATAAACAAAAGGAAGGGATCATGACAAGTAACCCTGCTATCACAAAACAGTTCTACTAAAAACTCTCACCATGAGTGGTTTTAGCTACAAAACGGACATGCGGGCAAAACAGGTCTCTAATTTATACTTTAATTTTTTTTTAATTTTTTAATGTTATATTTATTTTTGAGTGAGAGTACAAGTGGGGTAGGGAAAGAGAGAAGTGGGGACAGAAGATCCAAAGCAGGCTAAGAGCTGAGAGTAGCAAGCCTGATGCAGGGCTTGAACTCACAGATCATGACCTGAGCTGAAGTTGGACACTCGACTGAGCCACCCAGGCGCCCTAATTTATACTTTTAAATACATATAGATATATTTTAAAATTAAATTTTAATATAAAAAGTCTCCAAACATCAAGTGTTTAAAACACTTGGAAATTAATATGAAATAGAAAACACTGAATAGCCATCAAGACTACAATCTCAATTTCTATCCAATTAGTTGACAGAAATGATATCTGCCACATCTATTTCCTAATTTCCAAAATGAGGCTTGATAACCTACCTGTTTCATATCTCCTAAAAATAATCAATACGTGAAGTCCTTCAGGTTTTTTACAGGGAAATGAAAAATGAAGATATACTAGTATGGAAACAACCTTTGGGAAATAAGATACTCGACTCAAATAAGGGTTTCTCCGTAAAGTTGTGTTTTGTGCTGTGGTGTTGTTTTTTTTAATTTTGGTTGGAAATTTTTCTCAACAATATTACCAACTTCTTTATATTGAATAAGATATACTGATTATTTAACCATTTTTTCATCACTCAGGATCAGTGTTATAAAAATACTGATTGCTGGTATACAAGGATATCTTAAGTAGCCAACCAACGTCTAGTTATTCAAGTCTTTCAGACAGAAATGCCACACTGTGACGGTTCTATATAGCAACAGGACCTTTCATTCATTCACTAATTGTAACATTTATGCAGGGCCCAATATGTGCCAGCACTGTCTAGACACTGAAGATAGGTATAGACCTCAGTCTGGTAGGGAGAGACAGACATCTTAAAAAAAAAAAAAAAAAAAAAAAAAAGCAGCTGTCAGGACTGCTGTGCTATTTCCATGGACCTGTGCCATCAAAGCACAAAACAGTGGTTCTCCGGGGGGGGGGGGGGATGGAAAACAGGTGCACTTTCAGACATCTCCACTAGCACCTCCTTACCTCTTTATAGCACTAATCCCAAAGCCTGAGGCGGCCTTGGGGTTCCCCAAACCAAGCCCCAAGAAGCCTATGTAAATTAAGGTTTGTGATATCCCCAGGAACCCAGATTCCTAGCAGAGCTCTGGATGGCTAACCTGAATTTCCGGCCTGGTATCTTTTCCAATATTTGGAAGCTCTGCATAAGATATATGTCCAAAACAGTCTTGCACAAATAATTTCAGAGGCCAAATTTTTCAAAGATTAATGGACAATCTGAAGCTAGAAACTATAATCTTCCTTTCAAGTTTCATTTAAAGTTTAAATAAAACTACTATTGTGCATCTGTTATGTGCAGCATTTTTACACACCTCATCGCATTTAACCCTCATAACCAGGCTATATAGCTGAATTTTAATGTAATGTTCCCAAGTGATGGACCTAGGATTAATAAACGCAGATGAAGTCTGCATGCAAAATCCAGGCGTTTTAATAAATCACCAGTCAGAAGCCTCCATTCCACTTAAATACCTACATGGACAGATTAAGTATCTGTCCATTTGTAAATACATATTTGAGAAAACTGTCATGTGATACCCATAAACTATTACTAGAAAAACAGTATAATAACCATATATACATATACTATAATATAGTGATCATACTATTACTTCTATATAGTAATACATAAGAAATAAGGAACAGTGATTATTCACCTCCAGATAGGGAAGTGAGGACATTACTACTGTCAAAAATTGCCCTGACAAGTAAGTGAATAATGTTAACTTGCTAACTTGTGTTTTTTATCATCAAAAAAATGTTACTTTAAAATATACAAAAATGAGTGTAACTGTTTAGCAGTTGTGGCTTATTGCTCTGATTTCCACTATTGTTATCTTGTGTCCCCTGTAAGTAATCAACAAATAAGGCAGAAACATTATTTTTAAAAGTGATTAAAAAGAAAACAAAATGCTGAAATGCATGGGAATTCTGTTGTAGTTTGCGACATTTTGCTAAAATTGAATTTTTAAAAAAGTTGTATTTACTAGTCCAGTCAAATCCAAGGGAGCTTAATTATTCTAGCATTTCCCAGAAGTTCTTCAGACCAGGTACTTTTCGGAGCCTTTCACCAAGGTTATACGTCACAGGCAGCAGAAGGGTAGCAGAAGGGCAGCAGGGGCTAAGCTATTGATCTTTGCAGTCAGGCAAAATTCCAAGGCCGGCCCTGTCCAGACTCACTAGGTCACCTGGTGACCCGATTCCTCTAACGGCTCTACACAGCCACTGCCATGTGCCAAGTCCTTCCGGTGTTATCAGGCTGAACAAAATTGTCATCAGGCCCTGACTTTATGAGACTATTCTACTCCATCTCAGGTAAATTCCCTAATCTCTCTAAACCTTCGTATCCTCATCCATTAAATAAGATAATAATGGCTTATATTGTGCTAACTGTGCCCTTGACTTGTGCCAGGCACTGTTGTAAATGCTTTAATCCTCATAACCCTAAACGGTAGGTCTACATTTGTGCACCACAATCTGTAAAGGAGATTAAGTAAGTTACTGGTACTTTGCATAGTGCATGACACATGAAGAACTCACTTAGCTAAAAATCACTAGTCGTCCGTCCATTTTTGAAAAAGCTGTGCATGCAGTACGTTTCGGTAAATATTAAGGTTCAATCAAGGTGACAGACGAGGACTTCTGCCACAATTCGGTGGCCAGCGCGCAAGTTCCCACGGCCTCAGTCCCCGCCAACCCGCTCGCCCCGGGCGGCCCCGAGTCGCGCCGCGCCCACCCGGGTCCCTCCGGGCCGCTCCCGGACGGCCCGCCGGCGCGGACCCGGCTCGCTCACCGCAGCAGCTCCATGCAGTAGCGGTCGGTGCCCGAGGTGCCCGAGGCGCCCGATCCGCCCGATCCGCTGGCCGCCGCCACGCTCCGTCCGGACCCCGCGAGCCCCGGGAGCCGCCGCGCGCGAGCCCACAGGCTCCGGGGCGGCCGGCGGCGGCACAGGCCGGTAACGCCAGGTCGCAGGGGGCCGCAGGTGGAACCCAGCACGGAGGCCGCCATGACACCGACGCCGCGTGCCCTCCGACTCCGCCACGCCTCCGCCACGCCTCCGCGAGTGCACCCGCCCGCCTCCCCGCCGCCCGCCTCCCCGCCGCGGGCCGGCGGCCTGGGGACGCCGCTCGGAGCGGAGCCAGGTGTCGCTGTGCTCCTCTGCATCGCGGCGGCCGCCGCGCTCTCCTGCCTTGTGGGTTCCAGAAAAGCCCCGCCTAAACCGGTGGACTCCACTCTGTCTCTCCTCCTTCCTTCCAGGTCCTTCTGAAGATGTATTTATCAAGGTAGGAGGATAGACAATAGTTTATTTGACTGTTTACTAGCATAATTTATAACTTTTCGGTATTCACATAGTATGTGAGCCTCCTTTGGTACTCTTTCCCGCAGTGTCTAAATATTAAAGGTGGGCCTAGTTGCCATGACCTGACCTGATCCAAGCCATACATCCCTGCCTACATCTGGATCCCAGTGATACCTCCTGCCTCCAGATTTGCCCTGTCTTCTATTCATGCAGTAGCCAGGCTGGTTCTTTCTAAAGTGCACATCCGATCATGATCCTTGCTTGCTTGACAGTCCTTACTGCGCATTGGATAAAGCCCTTCCATGATATGGCCTCTATTTACTTTTCAGCCTCAACCCTGACTATTTGCATTTGTGACTCCAGTTTAATGTTTCTCCTTAAACCGAAAGGAGTGTACCCTGTTGTATGGTTCTAAGAACTCTGTCCAGTTAAACCTGCTTGGGTTTTACTCCCGGAGACTGCCTCTGCAGCCTATGCAGGACCTCAGTCCCTCCCTCATGTTCTCTTTTCTCTCTGGGCTTCTGTCCTTTAGCTCTAACAGACACGCACTAATGTTTTTGATACCACAATTTAAACCTGATCTGTAAAAGGGAAAAAATATCACACATCTACATCTCTAGTTCTGATATCCTGCCTATCTGGACATCTTGCCATTACTTCAAAGTCCACTAATTCCCCTTTTTAGTCTCTTTATTTAATTGCACAGTAATCCCCTTCTCACAACCAGGGTAAACACTATGGAGTCATCATTCCTTCTTCCCTCTTCTATATGTAATGTAAAGTGTCTGGTCACATCCATCAATTTCTTTTCCTTTACGTACTCACATACTTGGTTTCGTAGCTGATGCAAAACCTGGATTCAGATCCTGCCTCTGCTTCCTACTATCTGTGTGACCTTGGGCACTTACCTTTTCTTGTGCCTCAGATACCTCTCCTACATAATGGAAATAATTACAAAACCTACTTCATAAGGCTCTTGTATAAGTTAAATGAGATAATACATTTAAGGCACCTAGGCAGTGTCTCGCCCATTAATCACACTCAACACAAGTCAACTATGTAGGGGGAAACATTAAGAAAGACTTTTTAGGGGCACCTGGGTGGCTCAGTCAGTTGAGTGGCCAACTCTTGATTTCGGCTCAGGTCATGATCCCAGGGTCATGAGTTCAAACCCTGCATCTGGCTCCATCTGAGCTTGGAGCCTGCTTGGGATTCTCTCTCTGTCCTTCTGCCCCTCTCCCCAATTCCCACACTCTCTCTCCTTAAAATAAAATTTAAAAATTAAAAAACAAAAGAGTTTAAAAGGAGCAAAAAGATTGTGTCTCAATGGTAAGCTAGACATCGTTCAGTTTACTTGATTCTAAAAGGTCTTGGTGGGGCGCCTGGGTGGCTCAGTTAAGCGTCGAATTTCGGCTCAGGTGATGATCTCACGGTTCATGGGTTCAAGCCCCGCATCAGGCTCTGTGCTGGAGCCTGTTTCAGATTCTGTGTCTCCCTCTCTCTCTGTCCCTCCCCCACTCGTGCTCTGTCTCTCTCTGTCTCAAAAATGAATAAACTACAAAAAAAAATTTTTATTAAAAAAATTAAATTTAAAAATAAATAAATAAATAAAAGGTCTTGGTGCCTTTCATCATCTTTGAGCTATTTTAGAATTCTGTAAGTTACAGAATATTGACAATAATGCAAATTATTCTTGTGCATAAACATGCAAATTATGTTCGTAGGAGTTTCAGTTGATTATTATCCTATGGACATTGACCAGTTTGATTTACTTAAACATTCCTAACTGCCTATATAGTCTGGTACTTTGATTATGTCTTTGAATTGGTTGCAGCATCTTACTGGTTCCCACATTAATTATGAGTTAAATGAAAAAATTTTTTAAGATTTTATTTTTTTAAGTAATCTCTACACCCAACAGAGGGCTTGAACTTACAACCCCAAGATCAAGAGTCACATGCTCTATTGACTAAACCAGCCAGGTGCCGTTTCAATGAAATTTTTGACATGTCTTCATTTTATATCTGTATAAGAGTCATGGTTATACAATTTTGTTAAAAATTATTCTTTAACATCTACCTTTATCTGTTATTAACTTATCTTCAATTTTATTTCCCTTACCCAGTTTCATATCTTTCTGATGGACATATTTAGTTTTTTCATTTCCAGGCCAATGAATCTGTATTGAAAAATACCATTTCTAGTAATCACAAATTAATGCAAATCAAACTCATACTTACTAAAGGTGTTATGAGCCTATAGATATATAAACTTTAAGGCAGAATTCCAATTAATGGTGGTAGAAGAAAAATTAATGACTTTTAAAATTATGCTGCGGATAACATACTACCACCAACTAGCATTTATAAGAACATCTATTATTTGCTAATTTTGAAATTAATGTTTTCTTAGTTTATTTATTGAGAGAGAGAGCAAGCAGGAGAGGGGCAGAGAGAGAGAGGGAGAGAGAGAATCCCAAGCAGGCTCTGCACTGTCAGAGTAGAGCCCAACATGGGGCTTGAACCCACAAACCATGAGGTCATGACTTTAACCGAAACCTAGAGTCGGACGCTCAACCAACTGACCCACCCAGGCGCCCCTTGAAATTAAATTTTTTAAGAGTTATGAGCACATAAAATATTTCCTTAGTCTAGTACTTGATATCAAAACCAATATATTTGAAATATGCATATACTTTTATTCAGTCAAGGTTACAATCAAGGCAAAAGCCCAGTGCTTAACCCCAAAATTGACATTTGTAAGTAAATAACCACAGAAGCACAGTTTATTAACTTGGCATTTAGCTGTGACATTTGCTCATGATATCGTTTCTGAATATATGACTCTCCATGGTGATTTTAACTGTTCCATCTGTGTAATTATGGATGAAATATAGTAACATTTCTTCCCAAGTTTTAGTTCAATAAAGATTGTCCTATGGTTGATTGCTATATTTTAAAGAGTTATGCCTTATTGTCCCATAATATTTCTCCCCTCTAATTTTTTTCCATGGCCTCTGCCAAGAAGTGAGTTTCATTCTTTCTATTAAAAGTCGGTCTGGCATTTTGGCTTTTACATGACACCTTGAGCATCTAAATGGTCTGGGAAGGTCTACACCAAACCACAGCTGGTTAAATCTCCCAGGATAAAAATGCTCCACACACTTTCTCTTCCTCCTCCAAGGCCTTCAGGGATCAAATGACTTCTTGGTCCATTTTGTTTTGTTACATGTTTTTCATAATATTTATGTGTATCTATATAATATATATATACATACCCACACACACATATATACATACATGAATTTGTCTATGTATTTTAGATTCCCTTTAATGACATATATGTATATATTTTATATTATTTAATTATACACACACACATATTTTTTAATGCTATACATATATATGATTAAAGGAAATCTGGAAAATATAGGCAAATGTAGGAGGGAAAAATCATGCTAAAACCAATAGTTCAGGTACTGTTTACATTTTGGTATTAGAGCTAACCTTTTTTCTATGCATAGGCTTTTTGCTTGTTCTTAAATATTTCCTGTATAATAATAGTATTTGAATAGCCAAATGTGGTCTTAAACATTTATTATGCTGTTATTCCATTTAAAACATTTATTGGAAGTCTACTATGTTCGTATACCGTACCAGTTGCCAGGATTCTAGAGCAAGCAAATAGACATGCGTGTCCTCAAACAGCTTATTCTTTAGTAGCTAAGACATTTACACAAAAAGTCATCACAAATAAATATGTAATTACAAAATGTGACAACTGCTATTGTGTTAATGAAGATATGAGTTCAGCTGCTCAAATTAAGACACAGAATAATGGGCGCCTGGGTGACTCAGTCGGTTAAGCATCCGACTTCGGCTCAGGTCATGATCTTAGGATTCGTGGGTTCGAGCCCCACGTCGGGCTCTGTGCTGACAGCTAGCTCAGAGCCTGGAGCCTGTTTCAGATTCTGTGTCTCCCTCTCTCTCTGACCCTCCCCTGCTCATGCTGCCTCTCTCTCTCTCAGAAATAAATTAAAAAACATCAAAAAAATTTAAAAAAAAAGACACAATAACAGTGCCATAGACAGAGTAGACATTTAGTCCTCTGTTGGGTGGTTTGGGTGTAAGCAGTCTCAGGTTGCCTGGATATTCCAAGATCCCTGAGACATAGGCTCTTGCAGCCTCGGAGTGTTTCCTTCTGAGGAGTGTAGCATTCGCTTGTATGTCACGATGGCCACTCATTCCACTTGGCAGCACGAGTGAAAGCAGAAGGGGCAAGATGCCCTTCCCTTTAAGAGAGAAGTCATTTTGGTGGGTTGTGGGTGGCTCTGTTGGTTGAGCATCTGACTCTTGATTTCATCTCAGGTTGTGGGATTGAGCCCCATGTCAGGCCCCGTGCTGAGTGTGGAACCTGCTTAAGATTCTTTCTCTCTCTCTTTCCCTCTCCCTCTGAGAGGGAGTGTGCGCTCTCTCTCTCTCTCTCTCTAATTAAATAAATTAAATAAATAAATAAGTCATTTCTGTGCTGTGGCATATAGCAATGTGCTTCCTGAAGCGTTAACTAGACTTGCAGTGAGTCCAATTTCAAATCTCACAGTGGTGATAAACAGGATATATGAGATATTTACATAACTATTATGTGATATGAACACGTCTGTGATTTCATTTGGTGACAAGATCATAGTTACTGTGAATACTTTTGTGCTTTGTTG